CCGAGAATTGACTCGAGTGGAATGCTCACCCATGATCTTCCTGTTTACTTCGTGCTTTTGCCAGTCTCCCTAAAGTTCGCTGCTATACATTTTAGAGATCTTTAGAGGGCGCAAGAAACGTAGTCGCACCAAAAAAACGAAACGGTTTGGCTGAATTCTTTGTGAAAGATGGCGACGACTCCCTTTTCGCTCGAAGGCCTGCTTCTTTACATGACAGAAACGTTCACTGCCGGAGTAATCCAGTCTTATCAGGGACAGGGAGTGCTTGAGAACGCTCCGTTGATACAACGCCAGGATCCTTTGGATGATTTCAAAAAGTTCGATCAGAATGACACGATATTTCAAGAATACGACCCACCTCTGGGAGACGACAGCAAAATGGGTTGGAAAAAATCTCGACCGCCAAAATGGTGGATGTCGCTTTGGAAGGCCGTGAAACACGCATTTTTGATACAGATTTGTGGCGGTGTGTCGCTTGGTTCGCTGGCTATTTTGATATTGATTCTGGACTTCAATTCCGTAGATCTTTGCTTTGATATGCAGTCTACAAACTGGACCGCCCTTCCCAAGAAAGCGCAGGCAGTGATGGTTACCGCAGCGACTACCGAAGCCTACTTTGTTCAATTATGGACATTTCTTCTCGTGTTGGTGATGTTTGGCTGGCATGTGATCAAGAAGCTCAATCTCCTGATCCTAAATCTGCTTGGGGCGTTCATTGACACTTGCTACAGACTTTACCTACATATTTACGGAATTTACAAGAGGCGCTGGATGTCGTTTCCCCTGAACGGTTTGTTTGTGTCGATTCTGCTTATGAATAGTTTAATCATCGGAAGAGAAGTAGCGGCAAACACCGAAACCGAGAGATCAAAGAAAATGAGAAAAACCTTAAAGGTTACTGCAATGCTCACTGCTCAATTCGCTTTTGGAATCCCTATCACTTTTTATCTCGTGTACAAACTGGTCCCTCTGTATGGCGAAGCGAATGAAATCTACAGAGCTGTCATCGCTGGCGCGCTCCCCTTAGTAACAGCTATACCAAAGGTCATCGTACGTTTGGCGGCACAGAGAATCGATTTCATTCACCCTGGCGACGCGCACGTCCTGTTAAACGTTCTGTACACCGCGTCTGCTATCGTTTTCCGTGTCATGCAAGCAGAGCTCACAAGTCTTGAACTGTTCATTCTGCTGAGCTTCGCCCACGGCGCTGTGGACTTGCTAGAAAGGCTTACCATTGTCGTGCGAGATTATCTGTGGTACTACATTTACAAAAAACTTAAACGAGACGGCATAGAGACGATCACCACTGCAGATAAATTTCGCACCCCCAGAAGCATGCGCTTTATCGCAGACATGAGCATTCAGATGATTCTCGGAGAATCGACAGCGTTAATGGCAGCGGTCGGCTTCATCCAGCTGTATAAATTCATGTATCCTGCCGATCTGTCCTCTAACAACATGCATTATATCACGCAGTTCTTTTATCGCGTTTCCATCGCCCTTAGCATTGATTTCGTTTTCAATTCGTTCTCGTTTTGGCTGCAGATGTCATATTTAAACATCGCTGTGGTGCGGGTTTGGAAGAAGAAATGGAGGAAACACATGCTTGTGGCTTTCATCCTGACCGCCGTAACATTGTGTTATTTCACGACTCATTTGTTCGCCGTCGTGGAAGCCAAAAACGCTCCAGGAGTGAAAAAGCATAATTTGAATTGTACAGGTCCATTTGCAATGTTCTAGCTCATTCACGTATCACTACCGCTCAGTTTTTCTAAGAAACAAAAAGGTTGATCTTTTTAACCAAGCTTAATTCAGATAATGCGATCGAAAATAAGATTTCAATCTAAAATCCAGATCCGAAGATGGATCGTTTAGATTGGAAACCAAAGCTGATTGTATCATTCCATGGTGTTTCACTTCAGCGAACTTTGCAAATTTGAAAACGCAGAAATTTGAAAACGTAGCGTTATATTTCTTCTCATTTTCTCCACATCGTTGGAAAAATGTATTCATTTAATGAATAGTGTAGAGATGGTTTGTTCAACAATTATGTGATTCTGCCTTGAAGTAATGTAAGAACATGTTTTGGTAGCAACCAATAACCCAATTTCTACTGCTGTGTATGAATTTAAGGCCCCGTCTACACTACGCCGGAGAAATTTGAAAACGCAGCTTCTTTTTCTACGGTTAGGCCTACCGTTCACACTAATCCGTCACGAACGAAGCTTTTCGAAAACGTTCTTCAAACCGGAGGAATTTGAAAACGCCAGCTCTGCATTTCAGTCTGGACGGAAGACATTTTAAAAGCGGAGCTTTTCAGAAACGGCTAGCTTACGATAACCGCGTGATTTCCCTGGCCGAGTTCCCTCAAACACAAATCCAAAATGACGGGTGATCGTTGCATTTTCAAATTTCTCCGGAGTGGTGTGGACGGAAAACATTTGATACATTTTCAGAGCGAAAACGCCGTTCTCAAATTTCATCAGCGTAGTTCCCGATACAACATAGCTTTAGAGATTTAGACGTGTATGTTTGTAGGAAAACTGGGAAAAAAATTCTTTAATAATTTTCAAATACGCTAGGCCTCTAAAACTTGGTTTTGATTATAATCGGTACATACACGCTGTGATTTACATGACGGAGTATGCTTAAAGAGGATATTGACAATGTTTATGTTTTAACAGTTCTTAGTCTACGATCAGAGTTTTTAGTCGAGTTAAAGCTATTTGTATAATGCATCAAGATTTACGTTAAGTGTAACATCAATTCTGTATTTAAGCAAACGCCTTGTTGTATCAATTAAAATAAGCACTGCTACTTGTTTAAATGCAGGAGAGGGGGAGAGCGCGTTCAACTTTCGGTGTAACCTTTTGGGTATTTGTTTCATACGCGGGGATTGTTCTTTACCGAGTTCTAGTGCTGCAACTTGCTCGGTCTTTCAATGCGCTTTTCGTGCCGACATTACAGTGAGAAATAACATGACGGTATTGCACAATACAGTAGGGGGTGTGTGTCACGTCGATTCCTGTAATTCAGCTGTTAGCTTGGCCACTTCTTTCTCCAATGTCTCTTTCTCTGTTTCTAGCGCAGCTGTCCTTTTCAGATTCACTTGCAGTCTGTTTTCCAGGGTTTGGAGAAGTGGACCACACATGACTTCCATCAGCTGGCATAGGGCTTTAGTAAACACTGCCAAGGAAGTGAAGATTGTAAGCATGCAGGGTGCATACTATCCAAACACTATAATTGAAGGGGTGAGTGCAAAACCATGCTAAGTGACGATTTGGGTGAAAAAAAAAATTTTCGCGAAAAGGCTTGAATTTTTGCATGCGGTCTTCA